TGCTCTTCCGATCTCCCCAAAACCCCAAAACCCCAAAACCCCACTGTGTTAAAATTAGTAAGGCTTAGAATTAAAATATATATTGCTAATATAATTTTATAAGCATGAACAACAATAATAGTGCTAATATTAAGGTAGCTGTACGACTAAGACCTTTACTTCCAGATGAACAAAATCGAGGTATGATTGCCTCTAAAATAAAGGCCGTCAGAGATATCAATTAGATACAGTAATAAATCTATTCAAATATCTCTTAATGAATATCAGAGTCTAAAATGATAAAGCAAGTGGATATAAAGCGTTTTGATTCGATTCAGTTTTTGAAGAATAGGCCAATCAACAAACTATATTTGATGAAACAAACATGAGTCATCTCATTAACCAAGTCATTTAGGTATCTTTATATTCTTTATGTTATAATGTTAAATCAGGGATTTCATGCTACACTATTTGTCTATGGTTAAACTGGTAGTGGTAAGACTTACAGCATGGAAGGGTATAAATATGCTGCTACAAATCCAAATAAGCCTAATAAAATGCTTCCTTAAATCCCAAAGGAGTAGGATGAAGACGAGGGATTAATACCTAGATCTATTAGAGAGTTGTTTTTATAAATTGAAAAGCGAAAGAAAGAATCAGAAGGTAGTAAGATTTCAGTAACATGCTCTTATATCTAGCTATACAATGAGAGAATTTATGATTTACTGAATTCAGATATTTACAAAAATCATTAGAATAAGAGACTAGATGGGGTTCCAGGACTTAAGCTTAAATGGAATGGCTCGAATGATGATATCATTATTGAGAACCTGTTTTGCTTTGATTGTAACTCCTCCTAAGATGGGTTCCATTACTTTTGGAAAGGCTTAAAAAATAAAATGATGGCTAGCCATAAAATGAATAATTCTAGCAGCAGAAGTCATTGCATTTTGACATTTACTGTACACTAAATAGATATAAAAAATCCAGATAATCTGATTGTGAGCAAGCTTTAATTAGTTGATTTAGCAGGTAGCGAAAGACAGTCAACAACAGGAGTAGCTAAGGATCCAAGTCTTTTGAAAGAATCTATAGAAATTAACAAGAGCTTGTTTACTCTCAGACAAGTAATTTCAGCTTTGACAGATAATAGTACTCTGCAGTAGCAAAAATAAAATGGCTTTGGTGGTTTAAATGAAAAGAATTATACATATGTACCCTATCGTGAATCTAAATTAACATCTATACTTAGACAGAGTCTGGGAGGAAATTCTTATACACTAATGATAGCTTGTATTACACCACTAGATGATTATTTAGATGAAAATATAAGTACTTTAAATTATGCCAGCAGAGCCTCACATATAAGTAACGTACCTACAATAAATCAAGACCCAAAACTAAAACTTATAAATGAGTAAAAGAGAATGATAGAGAGATTGCAAAGAGAGTTGAAAATAGCAAATGATTAGATTAAATTTTTGACTATGCAAAATACATAGATAGGTTTTAATAGAACTTATGGTGGTGGCAGTGGAGGAGGAATGACAGGCCCAAGTGGCAGTGTGATAAATGGTAGCTAAGGAATGCAAACTTTGAATAGCTTTCAGAATGTAAACATCAATGATCCTAATGATACTAATGGAAAAGTTACAATAAACAACAATTATAACTCGAATGTGATTGCTATTATAAACAATTAAGATGCAGCGACTCAATCTCCTACAGGCAAACAAATTCCTTCACAAATTAAAACAGAGAAGTAATAAACTTAGTCTCGCACAGTTAATGAAATCAGGCAATAATAATAATAAACCAATTAGAACTCATTACTACCTGATATTAGATCGAATAGCAGAACTACAACTTAAAATTAGTTTTATTAAGGCAATGAATAGTTGTAAGCCTAATCAGTGCAGGTGTCCTCAAAATAGCAATAGATGAATTCAGATTTCCAATCATTCTTCCAAACTAAGCAAGATGCTTTGAAGAATCTTTCAGCTGCTGTTTAAACTCCTTAATAGCAACTACCTAATCCTCTGTTAGCTGGCTAGGGAGCAACGGATAGATTAATTTTTAGCATCAATATGATCAAAGAGGTTCTATAGTCCAATCTCTAATTAAGAGAAGATTTACTTAGACTATCCCAAGATCATGAGAAAACTTAGGTATAAAATTATCAGCTGAATAATGAAAACGAAGATCTTCGAGATAGACTTTAACTTATAACTAATGAAAAAGGTTATGAAATTGAGTATCAATAGCATTTGCCATAAATGAACATTGAAGAAGAAATAGGCTTAGTGAAGAATAAATAGTAGCTAGACGATTTGAAGAAGCATGTTCTTTCTCATATATTTAGTCTGAGAAAGGAAAACAGACATTTAGTCAAAAGGATAGAAGGGTATGAAGCTCAATCTAATTTAAAGCATGTCAAGTAGATAAGGTAAGCACCTAAGTAAATCCCAGTGGAGTAGAAGCAATATCGATAAATTACCTATGAAAATGAGGATACTGCTGAATTTTCTAGTTAAGACCGTTACGAACGAAAATCATAATAATATCATATGAATGATGAACTAAATGATACTTTCAATCCTCATTCTTAGAACTCTCAGTCAAGAACAGTTAGAAATCTACAAAATATTAAGGCTAGCAGAGAGAGAGCATCTAACACAAAAAGGAATTAAGTTCAAAAGTTCAATAAAAGTAAGACTAAATAGATTAACAGACCATTCCTTAATCAGTCTTATAATCCAGATGATGATGACAAAGAGCAGCCCACTTAGTTTTCCTCAGGAATGGAAAACTAGCTTAATCATAGAGACAGTTCATTACCATAGCCTTTGCTATCTAACAGGGGCTAAGAAAGAAGCTTTGATAGTGTTATAACTAGCAGGTAAAATGCTAGGAATATTAAAGATTTAGACCCTTCGTTCATGCCATAATCTAAAAACTAGCCTAATAGCACTAGAGTATCTGCAGATCAGCTTTCTAGTTTAAAGCTCAAAGCACTGAACTCTCAGGCTTAAGATGGCCATAGCTATTTCAATATAATGAATCACAGACTTTAAAATATCAAGAATGATGCAGGAATAACAACGATAGATGAGGAAGTTAATGAAATCACAACTTTAGATAAAATTGACTCAAAAAATATAGATTTACAGAATAATATGAATTTTAAAACTCCCAAAAAATCAAATAAATATCAATCTAACATACCCTAACAAACTCAGTATGATGTGGCTAAAGGCGTGCCTATGCCTCTTACAATAGCTAATGTAAACAGTAATTATAGTTAAATTGGGAACATAAATAGTAATTCGATAGTGTCCAGTGCAGGACAAGAATTCATGAACAAAAATTCTTAATTTTTAGCCAATCTTAGTAAGTTAGAGGGAGTTTCTGCTGTTCAAGCGAACTACTCTTCTTTGAATTATGCAAAGGGAGTAAAGCCGAAGAGATATAAAAATTGATAAAATCTAAAAATGTTGATGTGATTATAGATAAGAACTACGATATATGATTTATTATTTAGATATAAACTCAGTATAATAAGGGGAGAAATGATGACTCAATATTTATTTCCTTTAACAGATGATCTAAAATTTTTGTATTTTAATCCTTGGGGTTTTGGGGTTTTGGGGTTTTGGGG